AGGTGTAAGTAGCTTAAATTTTGAGTTTTTTAGTAGTTACTATATTTTTGATTCAATCAATATCATAGTTTATAAATAAATGCCTAGATTTATTCAGTTACTTGTCTTTTGAGATTGGCCCATTCTCATGACCATGACTTGACTTTGACTGTCCATTCATCCATTTGGAAGAGTCTCTACTTTGTAGGCCTATGGTTTTTAGCTCTCATAAAGGACCCACTTCATTCATAACTTTAGACTATAACCACTTTTCAACTCTAAGTTATTAATCAAAAGTATTATAGCCCTTTGAAAGTTTTTACTTAAATTGAAATCTTCATTATTAAGATAAGATATAATGTGAATGTTGTTGAATACTATAAAACAAACCATAAATCAGCATTAAATCACGTTTAAGTAAAAATTATGAGATAAGAATTAAAAAATTGAGAAGTAATAATGAAATAGTAATTTTTTTATTGTTTAGTAAAATATCACAAATTTTATATATTTTATTATTTAGTGACTCTTAAAAGCGTGTATTATTGTTTGGAAGGTAATCACATATAAAATTAAAAATTATGAGTATAAAAATTTGTAAATTAAATAGTAAATTAAATTGTTAATAAAGTAGAAAACAATTGAAAAAATATAAATAAAGTAGTAATTCAAACTTTAAAAAAAAAAAAATTTAAAGATATGTCAACTCGTTAGTAAATAGAGTAGACTAACTTTTAAACTTGGACACTTAAATTAGTCCGCTTTGTCCTACCTTATTTTTTACTAAATTTAAACTAAACAAATATAAATAAGGCGGACAATCCACATTGTTATCCCTAAATATTTTTTCTACTATACCTTAAACACTAAATTCTTCCACCGGTCTGCTATGGTACGTCAAAATTTTCAGAAAATTAACACGCTTCAAAATGAAGAGAATGCAGATATCCGTGATTAAGAAGGAATGTGTGGAGTAGCGAAACGGTGTTTCGACAAGTTGTTTGAATCTAAGAGGGGAGTGTCTGATCCCGTTTTGAGCTTTATTCACCCAGTATTAACAGATGCTGAGAATAACATGTTAACAACGTCTATCTTGAAAGACGAGCTTTTCGAGGCTTTGATTTAGATGCACCCAGACAAGTCTCCCGGCCCGGATGGTTTCAATCCGGCGTTCTACCATAATTTTTAGTCTATTTGTGGTGAGAATATTTTTATAGAGGTGAAGATTTGGTTAGCTAGGTTTTTTTTTTCTGCCGACACTAAATGAGACCAATGTTTGTCTTATTCCTAAGTGAGCAAATCCAAATGATATAAAGGATTTGTGCCCCATCTCCATATGTAATGTGGCTTATAAATTTGTTTCCAAACTTCTAGCTAATAGACTAAAAAAGTATCTGAATAAATGTATAGGGGAGGAACAATCGACATTCGTCAAAGGGAGATCTATTCTTGATAATGCAATGATAGCTTTCGAAGTTATTCATGTTCTTCAGAGAAGGATGACGGGAAATAATGCTCAGTTGGCCCTTAAGATTGATATTAGCAAGACTTCTGATAGAGTGAATTGAGGTTTCTTAAGGGGTATGCTGCAAAGGTTGGGTTTTGTAGAAAAATGGATTCAGTGGATGATGATGTGTGTTACGTCGGTGAATTATTCTGTTCTTGTGAATGAGGATAGTGTTGGACATATTTATCCAGGAAGAGGATCGAGACAAGGGGACCCACTATCCCCGTATCTTTTCATTCTTATCATTGAAGGCATTTCGACTCTTTTAAAAGGTGTTATTGCTCGAGATGATATACATGATGTTCAGATATGTAGAGGGGCACCTAGTGTGTCCCATCTGCTTTTTTGCTGAGACCGTTTTCTGTTATGCATGGCTAATTTAACTAAGGTGCCCAATACTATGGAGATTCTTAACTTGTATGGTGTAGCTTCTGGTTAAGATATAAAAATTTGGCTAAATCGGAGGTTTTTTTAGCAAGAATATAAGCAGACCTGCTCAGGAGGAATTGGCTAGTTTAATGGGAGTTCGTCATGTTCTAGGAACATGGATCTACTTGGGGCTTTCTTCTCTAATTGGTTAGAGTAAGAAAGCCACTTTTGCCTATGTGAAGGATAGAATTTGGAAGAATATAAAATCATGAAGGAGTAAGTCATTATCAAAAGCGGGAAAAAAAGGTATGATTAAATCGATTCTTCAATCTATCCCGAGTTATATCATGAGGCTTTTCGTTCTACATGAGGGGGTTGTGAACGACATTGAAAATATGCTTAATTCCTTTTGGTGGGGAGGAAGTAACAATAACAGTGGTATCAGGTGGATGTCGTGGGAGAAGTTGACAGGTACAAAGAATGAGACTGGGTTGGGGTTCTAAGGGTGGCATCTTCTATCAAAACCACAATCTCTAGTCGCTAAGATCTATAAAGCAAGGTATTTTCCTAGATCATCTTTCTTTGAAGCTAATCTGGGTAATAATCCAAGTTTTGTTTGGAGAGGCATTTTGGAAGCTAGGAAAATTTTAACCCTTGGTTGCAGGTGGAGTATTGGAGATGGCAATAATATTTCGGTGATGCATGCCCCTTGGCTTATAGTAAAAATAGATGGGTGTTCGAGTGGGCCTTAGAGACAAGGTGTGTATGACATTATTGTTAAAGATATATTTTTACCAAATGTTAAACATTGGAATTCTCAAGTAATAAGAGAGATGTTTGATTATGTAGCAACGAAAGATATTCTCTAAGTTACTTTAGTCGAAGATGTGGGGGAGGATAAGTGGAACTAGAAAGAGGAGCAGAATGGGTGTTATAGTGTGCGGCCGGGTTATAGATTGTGGAGAAAGAATAAAGGGAACTCGAGTTTTCACATTGTGGATGGAGAATGGGGTAATCTGTGAAATATAAAAGCTCCACCAAGAGTAAAACACTTGTTATGGAGAATTTGTAGGGGCTGCCTTTCTACTAGAGTTAGACTTCGTCAACATTAATTTCCTTGCCCTTCTATTTTCCAGTTTTGTGATAATACTTTGGAAGATACTTAACATGTATTCTTTGGTTGTAATGTTATTTCCTAGTGCTGGATGGAAACATGATTGACGCATATTATTGATCCTCGATTATACTCTTTTGATGATGCTATTACTTTGATTTTTGATATTTGTAGCCGGGAGGATAGGAGAACGGCTAGAAGAGTAGCATGATGTTAGAACTGATTTGGAAGAACCATAATAACTTGATTTGGAATAACTAGTCAGAAGAGTCCTCTAATCTTTGTCTACGGGCTTACTATAGTTGGTTTGATTGGTATGTAGCTCAAGAGAGCAGGGATAGTGTTAACAACCACCAATCTATATCGAGGCGGAGTCCGCCTGAGGAGGAGATGTTGAAGTCTAACGTTGATGCAGGTTTTAACATCATTAGAAGGACTATCAATAGGGGCTGGTGTGTGAGAAATCATCTTAAAAACTTTGTTTTTGCAGGTGTTGCTTGAAACTTTGGTCTCTATCCAATTATTGAGGCTGAAGTTTTGACCCTCAAAGAGGCCATATTTAGTGCAATAGAAATGCATTTGAAAAATGTTACCTTTGAATGTGATTCCCAAATAGTGACTCAAGCTATTCACATCTATAATAGCAATATTTCCGCGTTTAGTTTTATTATTTCATCTATTCAAAGTTTGTTACAGTCTTATCCTAACTTTGAGGTAAAATTTATCAAACGTCAATCAAATACGGTTGCTCATACTAGAATACAGACGACCAATTCTTGGACTATGCGTAGTTTTATTCAAGAATATTTATAAAATCATTTAAAGATATTTAAGAATATTTATATGAGATGGTAATAAATGTTTTCCTTATAATGGAAATCAAAAGACAAGGTAGAAGCAACCTTTTGGTGTCACGCACACAGGAAACACACCACAAACCGTCCACTTCACTGTTGTGATTTTTTTTTCAGTCACACGTGGGGTTGGTTACTCTCAAGACTTAGATCACACACAACAGAAACTAACTTCTTTTCTTTACTACACAAACTACTAGGTTCAAACTTCAAATGCATTTTGATATATAAATTAGGTAAATTAATTATTCAATATATTTAAAAATATATATTTTTTATAATTAAAATTAAAGAAAATATAATTTTTAATTTTGATTATTATATTAAAATAAAACAAATAATAATAAATTTAATTGTAATTCATTTAAAGCCAACTTTGTTGTTAATTGTGATGAGATATACATCTATTCATCTTTCTTGAAGCTGGAATTTTGACCTAAAAGAGATAACATTGCTGAAATCCAAACAAAAAAAAGGTTTGAATTCATTATTACTCTGACCTATCAAAGTTGTTTTCAAATAATAATAATAATAAAAATTTAGTAAAAAATAAAATATAATAACAACAATAAATGTGAATGAAGAGACATATAAGATTCTATTCCATTCTTCCTCTTTTTTGTTTGACTATTTCCTTTATTGATTTTATTAATTTTCCTCAATTTCTTCATTCCAAATTCATGAATAAGAAACAAACACCCTACTCTCTCTATTTCCACCTATATCTATTTTTCTGTCTCCTTTTGTATCCTTTTTGAAATCATCAAATACTTCTCTTCCACTATATATACATGTATCTTTCATGATTCCTTTTGATTGAACACTACTATACTACACCAAATTTTCAATTCTATTACAAGGATTCAATCTTCTTCAGGTTTATTTTTTCCCTCCTTTTGATTTTTGTTGATTGATATATCTATAAGAATCACATTTTTAATGGTAGCAATCATTTCAAAACGAATGCCATTTTTTTTTATTGTTTTTGAATCTAAATCTGTGCATGAAGCTCTTCTATATGATTTTATTTATTTGTTGTTGTTTTGAATGATTCCTGGATAAAAAATGTATTTGTGTGTTTTTGTTGAATGAAAATGCATTGATTAGTTTATAAAATTGAATATTTTGAACCCTTTAACTTTTCTAACATTTTTTTTTGTTTATGATTTAGATTTAGATGGACAATGAATTTGAGGATAGACGAGCAGTTTCGGATATGATAGCAAGCAATCAACCGAGGAAAAAACAGGTTGATTTCTTCGTCATTTTTTCAATAATTGTTTAGTTTACTTTATTATGATTTATTGCACAAACTTAAATATAACGCTGATTGATTATTTTGTAAGTGTTGTTTCGAATGTGACTTTGATTTCAGTCATTTTTCTCGAAAGTGTTGAGTATGAGAGATAGAAACGGAAGAACAACAGAAAGAGGTTGTTCAATTGATTCTCATGGTGAGTCCTATTTGATATTCAATCTAGGAGATAGACAATATTCCTATAATCTTTAAAGTTAGAATAGTCTTATTTTTTCTAAAATTTGTAGTATCATTCAATTCAATACCTCAACTTGCTTTTCTGTAAAGGTGGAATCACTACTTTTGTAGTGAAGAAAATGCAAATTTGAATCATTACTTTTCTGATAGTTTTCTCTTAGACTTAAAGTATGGAACCTTTTTGTTCTTTATCTTCTGTGAAAGCATGACAATTTTAAAATACTTATCCTATCTGTAAAGATGAGAAGATGAGTTGGCCTAATAGATAATATAAATGGAACAACCAAAGTTATTTTGTATAAGAATATATTCTTAATTGATTTTCAGATTGTGTGAATAAAATGAAACAATGATGATGCATACATGGCATAAAAAATTCCTTCAAAATATTGAGAAAATAATATAATACCATTTTGTTTTGTGCTGAGTGATATGTTATCCATAATTTCATATCTATTATCTGTGGTTGAGAGAATTTTTCATTCTATTTATCTTCTTTTAGGTAGAATTTTTGACAAAAAATAAATAATCCAATTTAACTTCTTTTAGAATGTGACATGGTTTGATTTACATGTAAAAGTTATAAGATAAGGTGTAGTGTAAGCATCTGGTGATTTGATTTGATCGCAATCTCGGAATATAATCATATAAACTTTAAGACGAGAATTCAATTATTGATCTTTCTTTGTTCTTCTTCATATCCACTACTTTTACTGTATGACAGTTCCCTTGTTAATGGTGGAGGTTGTTTTAGAATAGCATAACTTCATACTTTTATTGTACGAATGTTCTGTCTTAGCATGATCGATTTGAGGGATCTCTTATTTTCTTTGTATATATATTATTGATATCAGTTTGTATTTGTTACATTGCAGAAGCACTTTCTGATTTATCGATCCAAAATCAAGGCTCGGTATCTTCGATGTCTTCTGGTGAAGCAGTTCAGAATTTCAAGTAATTAGAACTTTCTTTTTTTTATATGTTGTTCTCGTTGCAATATCTGCGACCATATTAACAGTTATAGTTATTGTCTTTTGATTTTAATCAGAGTTTTTGCTGCAACATGGAATGTTGGTGGTCAGTGCCCGAGTGGGAACCTTGATCTTAGTGATTTTCTTCAGGTTCGGAATGAACCTGATATGTACGTTTTGGGGTATGCTTTCTCTTTTTGTCTCCGCGTGTCTCATAATCTGTTACTTTCTGCGATCTGTGATTGACAACACTCTTAGGCACGAAAACAGTATAGTTGATGTTTTTTGCTCATATTGATTCTTATTATAATCTTTGTTTTTCAAACATGTTAGTTTTCAGGAAATTGTCCCTTTGAATGCTGGAAATGTACTTGTATTAGAGGACAACGAACCTGCTGCGAAATGGCTTGCCTTAATCAATCAGTCGCTCAACGGTCCTTCAGATTTCGCTTCTCGCGGGTCATTGCTCTCCCCGAAGCCTTCGCTAAAGAAGATCAAGAAAACTTTCAAGAAATTAAACGGAAAGAGACTAAAAAGTTGTAACTGTGTACTAGAAATGGAAAGGAAGGCTGCTAAGGACTTCTGTTTTCGATGCCAAGAATCAAATTTTAGTTTAGACGATTCTTCCACCGAGGAGGAGGACGACAGTTTCCCGATTTCTGTCGCTCTGGCTACTAATCAGATGAAATATAGTCTCGTTACCTGTAAGCAAATGGTTGGAATTTTTGTTAGTGTATGGATGAAGAAGGAGCTTATTCAATATGTAGGACATTTAAGAATATGTTGCACGAGTCGCGGTATCATGGGATGCCTCGGAAACAAGGTAGTTAAAATACGATTTTTTTTCTTTACTTTCTCGTTCGATGCAAGTGCGTATGAAATAAGAAGTATCAATGAAAAACAATTCTTTAACATAAAAGTGTTACTGCATTTTTTTTATATGGCTGCAGGGGTGTATATCAGTGAGCATGTCATTTTATCAGACAAGTTTTTGCTTTATCTGCAGTCATCTAGCGTCAGGAGAGAAAGAGGGCGATGAGCTACGCCGAAATCTTGATGTCATAGAGATACTAAAGAACACTCAGTTTCCAAGGATTTGCAAGACACATCACAGTAGAATGCCTGACAAAATTTTAGATCACGAGTAAGCGTTGTTATAATGTAGACATTTTTCGATTTCTCTATAACTCTGTCAGTTATTTTTCATATTTGTGATCCCAAAATTTCTGATCATGTTGTGCGAAAAAAAATTCTCCAGCCGAATCATATGGTTTGGAGACTTGAATTACAGAATTTCTTTGAGCCGCGATGATGCTAAAAGGCTCGTGGAAATGAAGGATTGGCCCGCACTTTTCAACAAGGATCAGGTACTTTCTCCCTTGTAATGTTCATTTCAATATGATTCATATCGATGTTTTTTGTCGCTCGTTTTTGTTAGTTTTCTGATTATGCATTGTATATCAACTTATCTTGACAGCTTAAAATGGAAAGGGAAGCTGGTCGCGTATTCAAGGGATGGAAAGAGGGGAAGATCTTTTTTGCACCAACTTATAAATATGCTTTCAACTCGGATACTTACTATGTTGAAGGTGTAAAGATTTCAAAGAGCAAAAGGCGAACTCCAGCTTGGTACGTGTCACGTTGAATTAATGTTATCAAATGCATATTTGAGATCAAACCGATGAGACCATTGGACTATAGTTCAACTGGTTTAATCGGTTCAATCACGGGTAAAAATCGGTTTCAAAACAAATCTAATGATTAAAAATTGCAGGTGTGATCGAATATTGTGGCATGGACGGGGAATACAACAACTTTCATACGTGCGTAAAGAATTCAAATTTTCGGACCATAGACCAGTTTGTGCAACATTTTTGGTAGAAGTGGAAGTCATGTTTAGGGGACAAAAGAAGAAAGTTTCCACTTTCAACATTCAAATTGATGATGATTTTGTACCAACAAGAAGTTCATATTATTCATGAAGCACCAATTTTAACAATAATAATTGAGGTATTACGGTTGGTTAATGTGACATCCATCTTTGCATTATGAAGATCATTAAAATTGTTAGCATAAGAGATAAGAGATTGGATAGTGATTTATAGACTAGGGCAAATTCACATTTCATTATATTTTAGAGAAAACCTAGGTCAAATTGTTTAGGTAAATTTCTTAATGTTCATTAAAAATAAGTTAAAACGGTCACAAACTACTTTCACCTATTTTTAGGGTATGTATGTTTTAAATAAATTTTTTTTGAGTAATTGTATATTTTGTAATGTAGAACAAGACTTGATCAACTTTCATTTTTTCTTATTGAAAAAAAAAAAACTAGATTTAATTTATTGTATTAGTATGTTAATGAAGTTTATCAATATATAGCAACTATGTTATTTATGAACAAGGAACAATTGTACTAGCATTTTGAATTTATGAAATGATGAAAAAAGTATTAGAAAATGTTACTAGATTTAGAACGGTGAATTAACTAAAGAAATAAAATAATTAAGAGTCAACTAACTATCATCGTGCACCAAAAACTAATGTTGGTGCTTTATTTTAATATTTTGGCTATTATAGAAATTATATACAGCTAGCTTGAGTGAAAGGAAAAATTGAAGTGGCTATTCATGTATGTGAAGAGTTAATTTGGGATCATATGATATAAAATGTGAATTTTTCCGTACAATTATCAATTTTTTAATGACATGAGACATTGTGATTTTGCAAGATATATATTGGGGCTAATAAAATGAAGACTTACACGGCTGACGAAGACTTCAATTAGAATAGTCTCAAAAAGAAAAAGTATATGAAGTTTTTGATTATCATGCTTTCTGCTTGAAAATTTCATCTCACTCACTTTTAAACATTAGAATTATACTAAGCATGGATGTGCAGGCGTAAGTCAGATTCAGTTGGAGATACTAAGAGCTGCAAATGATGTAATTGCAAGAAATCAAAGTGTTTGGAGACTTATACTAAGCTTTGATGAATACATTTTTAATCTATTTTTTTCCAGGGATAAACATCCTACTATTAGTGTCATATTCTCTTGGATTAAAACGTTGAAAACCAACTTGTTTTGAATTTGGCCGGCACTTGCTCCACTGTTGGGGAGATCCAGTCCAGTGCTTTTGTCTATGGTCTAATAGCTTCAGGCCCAAGTCAGATAGTCGTTGGGGATTTCCCCCACGTGTCCATTAGAGAACGTGTCCCTAGTCATTATCAACCACCACCTGTCCTCCGAGAATAACAGGTCCACTGTCCCTATATTCTCGGGGCGTTTTACAAGGAAGGGGACCACGTGTTGGACCCTATTACCCACGTAAAACCTGGCAGTCCTTGTTGTTGGGCCCAAATCACTTGGTTCACTACATGGATCTTGGTCTAGCACAGGGGGCTATAAATACCCTCTCACATGAGAGGGTCAGGTATTCGTCCATTCATTTATTCATTCTACCTCACCTACTTTACTTGCTCTCACTCAGAACCTCACTTTGTCATCAGAGTTTCTTGTAGGTATCCCCCACTTCACATTCAACTGTTGCTCAACTTGAAACTCGTGGGCCTTGACGATCTCTTCTGATCAGGTACGATTAGTGGCGCCGTCTGTGGGAAATTGTTTCCCCATCTTTCACTAACTGAAGATCAAAGCAACTCTCTCTCAACCTTTGTCATGGCCGACCAAGCTATCAACAATGATGAGAACGCTCACTTCGTCGACGCCGAAAACAACAACAACGATGACCTTGCTGGATACGAACTCGACATCAGGGATGGAAGAACCGCTTCCTCCTCTACTCCAACCCATCCGCTCGATCAACCTCGTCGGAAAAACTACAAACCTGCAGTGTACGAGGAGATCCTCATGCCTGATAATGTTGACCATACGACCAAGGCCTTCTTCGCGGCGATCAATAAATCTGACTATATGATCTTCGCACAAGGCGAACGCCTTGGAATGCTGGAAACCCACAGGTCCCCGAGAAGGCACGGAAGGCCCGACTCGCGCACCCCATCTCCTCAACGACAGGAACCACGCTCGTGTTTTCCTCCGCAGAGACACCAACGAGGAGATTCTCGCGGTCCTTCTCCCCTTCGTACCGGGCGACGCCCCAGACTGGAAAGGACCCAACATGAAACCATCAAGAAGTGCGAACGCACCCCTCCGCGCAAAGAACGACGATCCCCTGAACAAAAAAAAAACAGGGGTGAGGAAGAGAAGAAGTCTTGGCCGAGGAACCCTCCCCGTGACCAAGACCGACTCAAAGACCGCCGCTACTACCGGTCCCCCATCTTGCTCTCCAGAAAGAAGCGACGAAGACGACCCCCGCGGTCCGCTGTCCCAAGCCATCATGGAGGCCCCTATTACTAAAGGGATGGAAAAGCCTCCCCTTCTGGAGGAATACGATGGCATTGTTGACCCCATCGACCACATCGACGACTTCGAAGCCATGATTCACTATCACAACGTCGGAGCCCCCATTAAATGCAGGATGTTCCTCATGCCGCTGAGGAAAACGACCATGGACTGGTATAAGAGCCTACCCCCCGGGTCAATCACCTTATGGAGGAATCCGAAGAACTAATTCATCAGCAACTTTACTGCATCTCGTCGGCACCCGAAGACTGAGTCTGCTCATAAGGCAATAATCCAGAGGAGCGATGAGACCCTCAGATAATACATTGATTGGTTCAACTGCGAGGCCATTCAGGTCCCCTGCGTCGATCACATGAAGAGATACTTGTTTGAAAGCGGTCTCCTCCCGAGAATTGAATTTAGAAAGGCCGTCGGCATTGAGCCCCTCGGGTCTTTTGATGCACTCCTTGAAAAATCCCGGGCGTACATGGAATACGAGGAAAAAGAGGTCGCGAACAACGTCTGCGGTTAGAGGAACCGCGGACCAACTAACTTCCCACAGCACAATAGCGTGGGCTCTTCTCAACAAACATGGGAAAATAGAAGGGAGGAGAAACCCAACGATCCTCGCGAACACAGAGTACCATCTAGGCGGTTCATCGAATACACCCCGCTGACCGCTTCCCGCGAGCGTATCCTTGTAGAGTGCTTAAATGCTGAGTTCAAGGACGGAGAAGTCAAGCATCCTCGGCCCACCCTTGTAAAGCCTAGGGCCAACAGAACAAAATATTATTAGTAACACCGTAGCCACGGTCACTTGACCGAAGACTGCGTCCACCCGAAGGATGCTATCGAGACTCTCATCAAGGAAGGGAGACTCGGGCAGTACAAGCAGAACGACGCCCCTCACTGGGATACCCGCGAGGTTAAAGAAATTGAGGAGGATACCCAACCATCCGATGAATCAGGTTCCCTCCAGGTAGCCTTCTACGTCTCAAGGCCCGAGGAATTCCACATCCTCGACAGTCTTGAAGATGACGAGCTTTGTTCACCCACATCAGATGGGAGAAGTTCCCCTCTACCATGGTCATATTTGGCGGGGATTCACTGGCATCTCGGTGAATTAAGTGAAGAGAAAACTCAACGAGTTTGTGGATGCATCCACGATCCAGGTTGTAACCCTTGAAAGATTCAAGGGAAATCTGAGTCAATCACATTTTATCTCGAGGAGTTTCCCGACGGAGCCCCCAAATCCAACATTCCTCTACTGATGAGGACAAAAATGGCCAACTTTGATGTACATAACATCCTGGTCGACGAGGGAAGTTCCATCGATGTCATATACACCCACCTGTTCCGCACCCAACAGCTCGACGATACCCATCTGTCACCATATGTGGAGTCCGACCTGCAAGGATTTAACAGTTTGACCTCCAAGCCATGGGGCTACGTCAAGTTGTTCGTCACATTTGGGGAGGAAACTGCATCCCGACATGTCAAAGTATGGTTTTTGGTGATCGATTGTCCGTCTCTCTACAACTTCATCCTGAGGAGACCAACATTGGCCGAGCTGACCGTCGTATCCTCCACGGTGCATTTTAAGATGAAGTTATACACCTGAGGGCATTGTGATTGAACATTGGCTCGCCCTGTCATTTCCTACGTCGAACAACCAGGCCGAGTACGAGGCCCTGCTCGTAGGATTAAGGCTGGCCAAAGACTTAGGGGCCCGAGAAGTACAAGTATTCACGGACTCCCAGCTCGTCGTATCTCAAGTTCGAGGAGAATATAATGCCAAGAACGATAGCCTCATCGAATACCTGAACATAGTCAAAGAACAGATGAAGAAGTTCGTCCGGATGGAAATCAAACACGTACCCCGCGAACAGAACACGCGGGTCGACATACTCTCAAAACTCGCGAGCACAAAGAAAAATGGTGGGAACAAATTCGTTATCCAAGAATCTCTTTCTCGTTTGAGTATTGAAAAAACCACTGTGTCGCCCGAGGTGAACGCCATTGGGGACATATCATGTTGGATGACCCCGGTATTTAGTTATATCACAAAGGGAGAGTTACCCGCTAACCAAAAAGAGGCCTATGCAACCAAACGTCGAGCTTGATCTTACGTAGTAGTCGAGCATAAGCTCTATCGGCGGGGATTCTCCATCCCACTCCTGAAATGCATCGAGGAGTCCAAAATTCTCGAGATCTTACGGGAAATCCACAAGGGAATCAACACCCAATACTCAGGCGGAAGATCTCTAGCACGAAAGGCGCTGCGAGCAGGGTATTGCTGGCCCACCATGCAGCAAGATGCGAAGGAGCACGTCAAAAATGCGAAAAATGTCAAAGACACGTGGACATGCACCTTGCACCCCCATGCGAACTCAAAACATTTGCACCTGTTTTATTAAATTTATATCCATTAAATTTAATAAAAATCGAGTGTATATTCATCAGGTGAGAAGTGTCTAACACATTTACACCCGTTTAAAAATGGGTGTAAATACGTTCTACGTTACACCATTTTTTAGTAAAAATCGGATGTAAATACATTCTACGTTACACCATTTTTTATTAAAAATCAGGTGTACATACATTCTTAGTTACATCCTATTTTAATAGAAATCAGGTGTACATACGTTCTTATTTACATCATATTTTAATAAAAATCAGGTGTACATACGTTTTTATTTACATCATATTTTAATAAAAATCGAGTGTACATTCATTTTATTTACACCCTATTTTAATAAAAATCGAATTTAAATACGTTCATAGTTACACCTTATTTTAATAAAAATCGGATGTAAATTAACATAAAAATCAGGTGTAATTACACTCTTTTTAAATATAATTTACATCTTTTATGAATGAACAAATTATATTATATTTAATTTCATTTACACCCTATTTCATATGCTACACATTACATCCTATTTTAATTATCACATTTTTTCATATACTAAGAAGTCATAATATTTAACAAAATATTTCATTAACTAAAAAGTCATACTATTTCACAAGAAAATATCATCCATCATACTATTTCACAACACTAGGCAAAGTTCAAATACGCAACCCTCAAGCCCTTATTGGCTGTAAACGAAAAGTTGAAACAATGCCATTTTTTAATACTTTTTGATTTAGAATCAAGCAAAACACCACGATGATATTCGAAGTTTGTGGAATTCTAAAAAGTAGAACTCCTAGATATGGGTTCATTATCAAATTGCACAAATAAATAAAACCAAAATACTTCTAGTTCGAATATTTTTATATAGGCATAGAGGAACATTAGCATAGTTTACAAAGACACATTAAACAAAGCTGAAAATTAGTGCAACTGTCAGAGATAGCATCTGGTACTTTAAAGTGCTTACATTACATTAACTTAATATATAATATATATATCTTAACATTAATATAAAGTTCAGACAAAGGACCGGTTGATGAACATGAATGCTAGACAGTGATTGGCATCATTATCATTAAGAACTTTCCATGCACTGTCTTGCTCATAAGAAACTAGCCTATTCATGCTTGATACACATATCCCTGATGGCAGATAAGTGTAACCCTGAAATAGGGAAATTAAAAGAATTTTGTTTAACAAAAAAGAATTGCAAAGAATAATTCATTAGTCTTTTGAAAATTTACAAAGAATATTTAGTTTTACCTGTTGCATTATCTTGGAGAATTCAGAGCAAAGAATCTTTCTGCCAGCTTCATCAAGTACTTTATCCAGCATTATATCCTGAAGTGCAACTAGAGTTGTTTCAAGCATGTCTGGTCCAGCTTGGTTTGCAAAGGTGAATATTGGAGATGCCTGCAACAATATTCATAAAAGTCAATAGAATACTCATTGGAGAATTACATTGCATATTATCAATGGAGAGTTTAATGAATAAAAAGTTAGAAGAGAATAGTGATTACAGTTGCTTTCACAGAACAACACATGATTGCATCAGAACGGTTTAGGGGCAGGGCCGTCTTTGAGAGCATGTGAGTCAGGCCACCGCACAGGTTCTAAAATTTGAACCGTGACTAAATAGGGCCTCTAATGATAAGCCATAAACACATGAAATTAAAATTACTATAAGAAATAACAGAATTAGAGTAGTATATGAAATAAAGCAAGTTACAGTAAGGATAAGCAGCATCTTGAACAATCTTCTCGAGAGTATCCAATCCAAGCATCTGTCAGCACAAATATCCAATCCAAGCATCTGTCAGCACAAATATCCAATCCAAGCATCTGTTAACATGATAAAGTTTAGCTTTTACGAAAGTGGTTAAGTTTGGATAAACAACTTATTTCTCTGGTTCCAAAAAGAGGGACAAAACAAAGCAATTCAGCTACATTAATGACGTAAAAATCTCTCTATATATGTGAAAACTCTACAGTAACAAATCATATTATTGGGTTACCAGTGTACTCTATAAACTATATTGATTCATGCATGAAAATATATTTCGTAATATACGATTTAATCTATTACTGGCCTTAGTTTGTCATCTTGAAATGATATGTTTACAATGACTAAAAACAAAGATATTTTTAGACAGATTTGAAGCAAACAAATGAAATATTTGCAAGGACCAAAATTATATTTAAACTAAATATTGGTGTATTAAAATACCAACAAACAACTCATTATAATGTCACCTGTGGCTTTCTGCAGTGAAGAGTCCTGCAAGATGAAGTAGGTCATATGTCCGAGGATACGTCGAAAATGCTTCGCACCTATCAAAATAAAAATCAAATTAACAAAGATCATTTATAAGACCAAAGTATATTCATAAATAAAAACTCCATACCTTAATTCCTATTTCAAAATTACCAGTCATGGAACGTTCCAATTAGGCCTCGATCATAAATCACAGGAAGCGTATTAGGAGCATAAGATGAGACCACAATCATAATGCATACAGGATAGTCAATCAAGGAAGCTGCAAAACCTCCATATAGTGTATTCTATCCATGACACTTCTTATCTTGTCAGTCCCAAGCTCAGGTATTAAATTCTTGTAGTGCGTAATGTGATTCTTCACTTACTATTGTCATTTTTGAATGTTAATGCACTCCCACTATGAACCATTGAAATGCGTTCAGGTGTAGCATGCAATCGGTCAGGCCATTTTGAAATCGATTTCCTACCTAATTTCTTAAATTTTGGATTCGGAACCAAAAAACAAATATGAATTGGAGTATACCATGTTGGATCTGCTTCGAGGCTGTCATCACATTTGGGCGGATAAGTATCTCTGGTCTGGTTTATATAGCAAACACTATCAGGAGACTTCTGCCATACAGCAATGTCGCCTTTTTTATTATACAATTCAAAACACAGTGAAGTTAGCAAGTCCTGCAATTTCTCGTAGTTTGATCTTTGTTCTTCGACTGTTGTGTCCCATCCATGCCACCTTCGCTCGTAGTTTATTGGTGGACCGGAAAAGACCCAAAATCCTCCAGGACGAAGAATCCGGTGTATTTCGAGAAGATAAACTCCACTTAGTAAAAGATTGCAGTTTGAATTTCAAAGTTTTAGAAGCTTCAAGACCAGTAAAGTTCAAGATCATGGATAAATATTGCATAAAAACAATAATTATGTCAGTTTGATTGATCTAAAAATGCAAAATCCATAGAAGTACCAAAGTCAATCCATGGAATGAGACATCTGGAGCAATGAGCCATATCAAAGGAATTTGACGGGAATGGAAGCCTGTGTAAAGCAAGGACACCAAGAATTACAGGGAGATCATGTTCTAAAACAAATTGAACCTGAGCTTGATGGTTATCTCTAGGAGCAAGAGAAACAGTAAGAATCCCACAATCCAGCAAGTCACTGCCCCATCTAGCTAGCAACCTAAAATGAACAAGAGTGATGTGGATAAATCAATGTATCTCTTTTGTCTATCATGTGATTGAAAATTGCAATTGAAATTAACTGTGCTTTTAGTCACAAAATTAGTCGATTTTGAAATCTATTTCCATTGCAGTTAGGAAAGCACAACTACAGGAAGCATTACATATAATTGAACTAGAACATGTTTGTTAAAGGAGAACCTTACCCTACATTAAAATCGATCCTGTCAAATAGCAGTTATAGCGCTACACGTTGAGGAATTTGAATAAACAACTATTGTTCTGCAATATGTAATTTAGTATAAAACCAACATCCCCCAATATTAGTATGAAAAAATCACCATACCTCCAGGGGAATACAAACTGGACATACATCAGGCAGTTCCATACAAACGTCAAGATCATTTTACACACAAATGGACTTATATCTCTCATCATCATGTTCAATTCAAGAAAAGCATACATCAAGGCAATTCAAAAAGCATTCACTAAGTGCACTCAATTTCACTTAACCAACTTTTAACTTCTCTTCAACCTTAAATTCTATAAAGCAATCTAACTACCTAGTACACCCATTAACTAACCTCACAACTAATTCACCTCTTAATTTCCATCTAGAATCTCACCATAACAAACTCTCTAACCGATTCAATCTAAACCCTCCATCCTCTAACTAATTCGTCCTCTCCATCTAATGGCCTAAATCAATCTCATTCTAACCAACTCCCAAGCTGCAACATCTATACAGAGAGCACATTCCATTCTTCAACCTTGGATTCATTCACAATCTTCTATCCCTCTAATCCCTCTCCAATACACTCATCCTTCATCTCTCATCTTCATTCCTCCAACCCTCATCAACAAGTCACAACAATCCTCACCTTCATCTCATCACCTCCCACCATCATCATCTTCACCTCAGCCCCATCAACCTCACCTCACTCTTATCAATCTCCCTGCAACCCCTCACTCTCTTCTACCCTCTATTCAACAATAACAATGATATAGCAATAACAATTCAGAGCAGGAAACTCAATAAGAAACTCTAAAGAAAACAAAAGGGGTAGAAGAAAACAGAAGCCGAAAAGCAAAAGAATATCGGTTCAGGACTTATATCGAATACCTGGCGTACGTAGATACGAAGCGGTAATTGTGCTAACAATTAGATGCCGATTCATGAACCATAATCTGCCACAACAACAAATAACAATACAACAGCAATTCCATAGCAGAGAAATCGAAAGGAAAAGAAGAAGAGGAGAAGTCGCGAATTCGCTCACACGCATCCGCACACTGCTATTACCGAATCAGTGTTGATTGCCGTAAGTAAGGAATCACAAGCAATTCACTGTTGTTGTTGTCGCGTGAGAGAAAGATTATCGCGTTGAAACCGCGAAAAAGCACTTTTGAAAAGCGCTTATGGACAGCTGAAAGAAACCGCGTTCACGTTTACACTGTAGTTTCAGGGCTGAATCAAAGCATACAGTTCCAAAGTCGGCAATTCTCCTCTATAAACAAATTAGTGCGGTTTTACCCTTTTGTTCAACCACATTTGCATGTGAATTTCAATGAATATCCAAGTTTTCAAATAAGGATATTGAGTGTATTATGTATATCTAGCTCTTGGTTCTGAGGACTGATATCATTTTCTTTTCTTGTCATACAGCTAAGAAACAAAGTACGGCTGTGAAGTCAGATTCTAGTATACAAGAAATCGAGGCAGCTCCTGGAAACACACCAAATCATGTTTCTGACGGTAAACAGCGTGGCGATAAAAAGCGCCGGTTTCCTCTCCGAAAAGATAGCTTGAAGGCTAAGGAAACTGCTTCTTCGAGAGAATGTCATTTGGATGGGAACAGTGAGTACAATGGCGGTCAGCTAGTACCATTCAAGTTCACAGATGAAGAAGAACTGGAAGATGAGTTGGATATCCCAAAACTGTCACTTAGAAGGCTTAGAGTGTCCAAAAAAGTGGGTTCTGTTGAAACCACTCATTGTGAGATTGAGGAGATAAGTAATGGGGATTTTTCATTAGAAAGACCAAAAGAGGAGTCTATTCCTTCATCTGATGAAGATGAAAATAATGACAAATCAGCTCTGGAAGGGGACATACCTAAAATGGAAATTGCTGAAATTAATTTAGGAAAGTTGTCACTAGAGGAAGCAGGTGCAGAGTTGATTTCAAGATCAGATGAAGCAAATGTCAATATAGAAAAGCCAGTTACAGAAGATGCAAACGCTGAAGTGGAAATTATTGCAAGTGAATTAGAAGGAGTGGTAGACTTGAATAATCGAAACTTGCCACCAGAGGAGCTAAACTTTCGAATTGATGGAGAAGATGCTAAAAATGATAAATCAGCTATAGTTGGTGAAAAGCTTGAAGAGGAGATTACTGGAAACAATATAGCAGAAGAAAAATTAAACAATGGAATATGGACACAAGAAGGAGCAGAAGGGGATTTGAACGTAAGTGCTTTGGATAAAGAAGAACCTGACGATGAAAAATCAGCTAAAGAGGGTGCAAAATCAGAAGTGGACACTGCAGAAGGCACTACAACAAAAATGCCAAGCACTGAGAATGTGGATACCTTCAATACCACGGAACTAAGAGGTCATAGTTCAGAAGTTAGTAATGTTCATGGAAAAGAAAAACTTTCTGAATCCCCAACCACCAGAAGCTCTAATGCTTATGACGGAATCAATGAGCAGTTAGTTCCCTATCCAACATCTAGATTCTTTGAGGAACACTTACGCTGAGGCTGAAGGAAGGATCAGAAAGGGTAAAGGTCCTGCTAATGGTGATTTTGGAACACAACATCAATCAAATGTGCCAGAGGAAAAGAATCATATGGTGAAAGACAGCAGAAGGAATAAAAACAAAGTATTGGGCAATACAAGTCAAGGTGATTCCCGTTTCATGAAAACAAAGAGAGATCACGAGTTTCCATCAAGAGTACCTTTTCATCGAAATGGTTACCAATCACACAATGAAAGTGGCAGGCCGTCAAATGGAATGCATGATGAGAGTTCAAGCTTTCTTTCGCGTGACCCCCGTGAGGAAACTGACCAGGAGAAGGCGAAACTGTTGGGAATGATTTATAAGTTGCAGGATGAACTCAACAAGACACGCTATGTGAGTGAGAAATCAAATGTAAGAGTGGCCACTGGTGTATCTTACAAGGAAAATCATAATTCTGTATACAAATACCATAGCCATGACCTTCGTGAAGGAAGGTTTTCTCATGCTCTTGATCACTTTAGGTGTAATGGAAGATGTCATTGTGAAATCATGTCGGGTCAAAGGCATAAATACTCACGGATACCTTACTCAGCTGAAGCAACAAGTTGGGCATACCGTGTTGACCATCCTTGTCACCATTGTTGTTCCCATGTCTCAGCAGATTTGTCTCCACGTGTTCATTTCCAACATGAAGATTTACACAAGTGCTGTCGAGCACACGATTGTAGCTCTTCAGGTCCACAATACTTCACAGCCTCTAAACTCCCATTATATAGCAGTGACACAAATTCTGATGATCAGAGGTATAGGACAACTATGGCGAGGAAATATTTAAGGGAGAAACAGAACTTGGCTAAGCGACATCGCAGGCCAGTAGCAGGTGGAGCTCCTTTTGTCACATGTCCTAAATGTTTTAAACTGCTTCAGCTACCTGCAGATTTTCTTCTTTATAAAAGGACCTGTCATCAGCTGAAATGTGGTGGATGTTCAGAGGTACTCAAGTTTTCACTCAAAGACGGAACTCATGTAGTACCTTTTTCATCGATTCCTATAGATCTTCCGTCTCGCGAGCTTCACCACGGAAGCGAGGTGATTAATGGCGGCAAGCTACCATCAAAAACTCATGTCAACCATTACCATCATTCACCTGCAAAACCCATTTCATATTATGATGATTATGGACTTTCTGTCTCTCAAAGCTTCTCCTCAGAAGTAGATCCTGCTTTTCTAACCCAACAATTTGATACCTTGCATAGCAGTGAATATGTTAACCCGGGTGTCTCTCCTAGCTCAACATTTAAGGCAAAGATTATTGGTTCAAGATATTTTAGTACAATCGCAGCTACAACGGAGACAGATCAATCAACAGAACTTTCCTCCAACATGTCTGAACCTAGGAAATTGTCACCAGAAAAGGAGGCAAGGCAGCCACGGAAAAGTACTCTGCATAAACTGATGGGTTATTCTACACCAAATAGAGTGATAAAAGGGACACCTTGATGAAGGCAAAGGAGTTCATTGCCTCAGATCAATTTAGTGTATGATCCAAGTAGTCAACATTATTTCATTTTATGTACGTACATACCAAATTACCAGTTTTGGAACTGGCCAATACATAAGATTATTGTTGTAAAATTATTCTTTTTGGTGTATAAATAATTTCATTAGATTTTTTCCATAACATTTAATGCATATATTCTACATTATTTCTTAAATTTTAGTTAATGTTTATAAATAACAACTTTGTTATGTCTCTTAGTATATTAGTACAAGTGTTAAAGAACCGTATTCAATATTTAGGCAACATAAAATGTCCTTTGATCCTTTCAAAATAGATTTTGGGTAATACTCATTAGCACTAACAGTTTTTTTATCGGTTCAAATTAAACTTCTTCTTACTGGTACTCATCAATAATTCGCAAAAATATAACCAAAAAAAAAACTAACTTCCGGAATTAATCAAACAAATGATTGTTTATGTTCTCTATAATTTGACATGTTAATGCAAACTCGATTCTTTAATAAAAAATTCAAATACTCAGTACATAGATACATCACAAGAACATATTTTACAGAGTTTTGGTTGAACTATGAGAGCCAATAAAATGATCATCATTATCTGAATCAGATTCTTCATCTTCTGGTTCAGAAGGTCTCACCCTGTTTGTATTGGCTTCCAATGGAGGCAACCCATCATCATCGCTCGTGTCTGTCTCATTCTCTTGTTGGGTGGCGACTCTTTCATTAAGATCATCTTTAAAAATCTCAGGCCTATACATAAAACATCATTTAAAAAAACAGTATTTGATATCATGTGAATACCATTAGATGCTACCATATAATATAAACAAAGAATACAAAGTAAAATACGTAAAAATCAAAGTTGTTAACAAGAGCACACCATTCTGCAGATTTCTTTAATGCACGGAGTTGATGATAGAAAAGAACTTGAGACACAATACAACCAACCTTGCTTCCTGATTCAAGAGCCTCTTTCTTTCCGCTCTCATCAACTACAACAAAGTTTCCTGAAGATTGAGAAAACACTTGCATTGGTTCATCAATGAAGTAAAAAATAAAAATAAAAAACTAACTAAAATCATCAATCAACATTGAATTGGTAGTTAAATAAAAGAAACCTCGTTTAATCCACATGCTTTTCTGAAATTTAGCGGGAAATAGAGCTAGTGATTTCTCACCGCTAGCATCCATAACCTTGAAAGAGATCAAAGTGGAACAATACATTACAATTATGATTAAGAAACCGAAAAAAGAAAATTATAGAAAAAATAAAAATTGTAAAACCTCAATAAGATTGGATCCTCGAAGAGACGCGACTTGCATGATGCATTGCCCATCTCCGAGAGTTACATGTTTTTCCTCTGATGCTCTTTTCAAATTTTTCCTTCCTCCTTTCATGGTCACAAAACCAGTGGCAGAGCCCGACTAAAAAGTTTGAGATAGCAATCAAAATAAATTATGACTTCTAGATCAAATATTCAAATCATAATGTATATAAAATACATAAGTTGTAATAAACACAAAGTTGAACATCAAATGATTAAAGAGCACGACTAAAAATAATGTTTTACGGTCTTTGAGTAACTTGAAATCAATAACAATTTCTCTTTTAATATTAACCGTCAATAATATTAACTCATAATCAATACTCATTTTAGGATAGTTTTTTAAGTTTCTTTTAAACAAAAATTTGAAAAAGTGACTTAAGGACATTATAAGTAGTACAAAATGAAGAAGACAATTAAAGAGCATAAACTTGGTTAATTAGATGCCAAGTTTATTTCAGAATATGTCACATTTTTTAAGCCTAATGGTTCTTGGTCTGCAGTGTGACCAAAACTTAATGTTTTAGCCTTAATATTTATGAGAACACTATAAATGAATCGGTATACTAAGAATGAAGTTGAACATGAAATTAACACAGTCTCTAAATTCACGATACAAAATAGTCCTTAGAATGTACCAAACAATCTTAAGAAATTGAAGAAAAGAAGAACTTACACAACAACAAAGCAATGGCAATTAGAGGCGGTGTGAAGAATAGTGGCAGCTGGGGCCCGCGGCGGCGGTGGACGACAAGCCTTTGTTGCTCTCGTTCTGTTGCAGTTTGTGAATCGTTTATGGTGGTGGAGCGTCGATAGAAATACAAATCAAAAGTCGCAGTTCAGAGGAACTAAGATAGAGAAAGAAGTTGTTGGCATCGAGAATGCAATTTAGGGTTTGATGGCAAACTTGCAATTTTCTTAACTATGGTGAATATTTTAGTATTATAATTAGACTAAAATAGTTTTTTTATTTTAAGTAAATGAGTTTTTGATTTGCTCTTTTATTTATTTTTTGTCAAACTATTTGTACGGGTTTATGCATGTTATAGAAAATAAAATGTGTTTAACTCTGTAGGCAAGTCTCTCAAAAGAACTTTGTAGGCAATTTAGGGTATAAAACATTAAGTTTTGGTCACACTGCAGATCAAGAACCATTTTATTTTCTATAATATGCATAAACCCGTACAAATAGTTTGACAAAAAATAAATAAAAGAGCAAATCAAAAACTCATTTACTTAAAATAAAAAAACTATTTTAATCTAATTATAATACTAAAATATTCACCATAGTTAAGAAAATTACAAGTTTGCCATCAAACCCTAAATTGCATTCTCGATGCCAACAACTTCTTTCTCTATCTTAGTTCCTCTGAACTGCGACTTTTGATTTGTATTTCCATCGACGCTCCACCACCACAAACGATTCACAAACTGCAACAGAACGAGAGCAACAAAGGCTTGTCGTCCACCGCCGCCGCGGGCCCCAGCTGCCACTATTCTTCACACCGACCACTGCCTCTAATTGCCATTGCTTTGTTGTTGTGTAAGTTCTTCTTTTCTTCAATTTCTTAAGATTGTTTGGTACATTCTAAGGACTATTTTGTATCGTGAATTTAGAGACTGTGTTAATTTCATGTTCAACTTAGTATACCGATTCATCTATAGTGTTCTCATAAATATCAACAAATATTAAGGCTAAAACATTAAGTTTTGGTCACACTGCAGACCAAGAACCATTAGGCTTAAAAAATGTCACATATTCTGAAATAAACTTGGCATCTAATTAACCAAGTTTATGCTCTTTAATTTGTCTTCTTCATTTTGTACTACTTATAATGTCCTTAAGTCACAATCCATACATTCAAACAACATATTCCACATATACAAACCTATCCTAGTGAACAATTAAATGTTGGACAGAAAAAGGAAATCCATCAAAGAGAAAAGGAGTTAAGTACAACAAGTAGAAGCTGAAATACCGTTCCAATTAGAAACAAAAAGGAGCGTGAGGGAAGTAAGAAGAGATGAACGAATGAGTTTAATTAACAGAGTGATTGGAATGAATATAAAAGATTTGTATTTAATAATTTGAAAATCAAATCTTGAGTTTGGAATCAATGTTGTTAAAAGCGAGATCCCTCACGTGTTCGGTGAGGAGGAACATGTACATTGAGTCGTATTAGATCATAACGCATACACCTATAATCATCCTCGTTGTCGTCTTCACCACCACCACCTCTCAACTAAAATTCAATTAAAAATACGTACGCAAGTCGCAATTCAATTAAAAATACATAAGGAAGTCACAGTATTATAGAAGACTTTTCAAGGGAAATAATTATAAATAGTCTTTTTGCATCCAGGAAAGATGTATTGAGAAAGAAAATAGCGGCGTTTCAACAGAGTTGAGACATGTCAAATGATGATACGCCCAAGTACTAACAAGCCCACGACTTAATGAAGACTATTAAGAATTAGTAGAATGAGGCTGGAGTAGCTAGTTAACTAGATGGGCCTAGTTGGATAGATAAATAAATAGGGGGATCAGATATTAAGGACATTGCTTAAAATTGTTAGCATTATATAAACAGAGGAGTCGCTCATTTGTATAAGGAAACTGCGGGAATGGAAGAGAATTCTTTCTCACATTTCAATATATCAACAAAGCTATTCACTTACATTCCTCAAATGAAGATAAACATCAACTCAGGTCAGAACAGTATCACAACTTAGTATATCATATAGGAAAAAAACGACGATGGGAAAGCAGACACAAACAAGGTTTGCGGTTTCAAGTGTAAGCATCGATTTTTTTCCAAGGAAAAATGTGTTTTTTACCACTTAAACAGCAGTGTCTGAACCACAAAAACCATCTGATGCCAGCGACTTACAAGCTATAGCTCGATGATCCTGCAACTATCTCACCAAACAAAAGTGGGGTATAATAAGGATCAAAAGCTCCCATAGAAAACCATAGTATTGGGCAACCTTACGAGGAAGATTGGAACCTTGACAACCGTGTTTGGAATGTTAAAAATGGGACGATAGAATCCTATACATAAAATGTATGAGCTGATTCTAGCAAAATATACAATTTTGCTTCCCCCATATTCAAACTTGGGACCTTTTCCTGCATAATGAGCTTTCAGCCACCATGTCTCATCCAAATATGATATCCGACTTCTAGATCAAACATAACTGAATGTCATTTACGACAAATCACATTTATCATAAATCATAAAATCCAAATTAGATAACGACAACAGCTTCTAAAAAGCAAATCGCTATGCGAGATCCACATCATCAGAGAATTAAAAGCTTCAGCCACCAAACCACATTCAAATATGATATCCAACTTCTGGATCAAATAAACTAAGTCAAATGAAACCATTCCTAACTTTGATATCCAAACACAACAAAATTTCATTCACCACAAATCACATTCATCATAGAACATAAAATCCAAATTAGATAACGACAACAACATCTGCCTGGCGACAAAGAAAAAGCAAATCACTATGCGACATCCACATCATCAAAGAATTAAAAGATTTCAAATATTTATATCACTGCCTCGGTACCCTATTCTTTTATACAATCCCATACCTACGCCCAACCTTAGTAACGATACCCGTATCCATCTTTAGGAAAATC